GAGTAACAGCCGTCTGCATTCGACCGGCAAAGATGTCTGTTATAACATGATTATTATCATATTATTTTCATTTATTTGAAGAAATGTGCCAAGGGTGGTGGGACGGTAGCGGTTGGGTTCTGTTGGGATTGTTGAGAGGTTTGCCCCTAAATCGCTGGTTCGTGGAAAAATCGGATAGGATAATTCATGCGTGAACCATGATACCAGAATTACTCTCACCTGTTTTTTTATAAACATTTTCCAGGCATGACAAAGCTCGCGTAAACTCCGACAGGAGGCGAGTCGTAGACAGAAGGCTAAAGCCTAAATATTGTCCCTTGGGAATCGTGCTCACCAAATGACATTTCTGAGTTCTACATCTCGTCCTTCCCCCAGTCATCCCCCCTCCCGAATCACTCCCTCTCCCTCTCAAACGCATTCTTTTCCTTGCAGGAAAGGAAGAAATGTATTTTGGTGTATATTATTTTTGAGACTGTGATATTTTTAGCATTGTGCATGAAATAGGCACAGTAATTTTTTTAATTTTTTTTGTTTGTAGTCGCATGTTAAAAGGTAATACCTCGTTAATCCTTAGCTCGCACAAGTTTCTACTTCTGAGGGTTGTCGTTCGTAGGGGATCGACAGCTGGTTAATGAAAAACAGATTTGAAACAGATATGTCCCAAAAAAAATATCACTTTTCTGTTATACTTATTACACTTACTTCAGTTGATCATGATGATTTTCACCTCGTATAAGTTAGTTCATGTTGGAAGGCAGGTGTTAATGAAAGACCAGTCATTTGTTTTGTCAGTTCTTTCTCCGGCGTATTGTGATCAAGGTGAACCTGTGTTATTGGCTCAGGGAAATATAATGACGAATATCGAGATAAATGAACAGCAGTTCATTTTTGTCATCAGGTGTTTGTGAATACACATGCAGAATCAATCTGATACAATATATTATCGTGAAACAGATGACTTATCCAATCATTGCGTCAATAAAACGAGTCGGGATAGAAGCCATATGCATACATTTGAAATGTTCGTTGATTACCCCTAAATGTTTTTAAGTATGATGCGTAACCATATTTTGTTAGAACCTCTTGTTTTAAGGACACAACACGAGCACTACGTGAAAATCCTCAAAGCGTTCTGCGAAATAGCGATTCATATTGGATTTGAATCGCTGGAGTTTAAATTCATTTGGAAAAACTTTCTCAGGAAGTTTATTTCACATAAACGCAGTTCTCCAAATGAAAGAATTCTTAAACAGTGAAGTTCGAGGTGTACTGAGTTGAACTTCAAAACGATGAGCAGCTGCAGTCCGTCGCGTATTTCTGATATGTACCGCTCTTAGTGGAATCAAATATGCCAATTCACTTGAACACCTTCCGTAAAAGTATATATAAAAGAGAGAGACAACCTTTCTTCAATGTTCCAGACTATTAAGGTATCAAGTTATGTTCATGCCTCCAATCAGATGCCTCCAGCAGCTTCAGGGTATGCTTCATTATTGACAATGTGTCACAAAAATTGTTTGTGGAAATTGCAAAAAAAACATATTGCAATTTGTTGTTGTACCTTTTTTGTACCTATTCTTATCAAATCTTCGAGTTCTTGAAACCAGACACATTTCACTACAAAAACGGTTCAACGTCATTGATTTTCTCATTATAATACTTTTGTCAATAATGCTATATGTAATACATTTTGACATCGTCCCCAAAATAATTCGTTTTTTTTTAGTTTTTTTCAAATTGAAATTCCTGTTATTTTCAGTCGATCATAATATAGTTTTGTATGTAGATTCACAAAACTCTTGTTGTAAACGAATTGAGTTATTTGAAGGGATACACTATTAAATTCAAATAAACACTATGTGTTCAAATCAAGTTGATATTGCTCTCCATTTGAATCAGTTTATTTTTCCCTTCAAATAGGTGGTGGATTTTGAGATGATATTATATTTTCTTGATTCAAAATAGTTAATTTTCGCAATGATATAATCAAACGAATGATGTCGTTGAAAGGCCAAGAAATTTGATTTCTTTGTTGAAAAAAGTGTGATTTTCTGATGGAACATGGCGATGTTGGCATAAAGTAATAGTTTTTCCAATAGAGATAAAAATTTCAAAGCAACCTATGATATTCTTTTAAAGAAATACTTTTTACTGTGCATTATGAAATTCCTAATTGAATAACATAGTTCAAAATACGAACTAACCCAACCTTAGCGTCGTTTCAAACCGACAACTTTCAGTGGAGTTCAATAACTCTTCTGAAAAGTACTAAAGTTCACAGCTGTAGTCTTGTTGGCTCGAGATTTCAGCATAAAGATGCAGCTTTTCCGGAAGTGCAATAATTTCTGCCGTCAGAACTGTTTTAATTTGTGTTGTTGGATTCGCCGTACTGGACGTAATGTTTCTGTTCACCCGAATGGTTTTCCTGAAACGATAAATACTGAACAGGTTCTATTCACCAGAAATAACAGGGTTTTTAAGTGTTGCTTCATGTTAATCCAGAGATGTTCTTTCTATATTTCTCATGAGAGAATATTTGATTGAAAAGTTGCGCTAAAATATTACCCAAGAGTGGTAAAAAAACAGTTTTTATCGTCTTCTGATGATGCATCTAGAGGGAGTAATATTATTTTTTCAGATACAAGAATATATAAAGTTTTACAAAAAAATTTAAAGGCGAGTTACTGCATTTTTGCTGCTAATATCACAAATACATTCTGAAACTATCTTTCGACTATACAAGTTCACTTCCGTTAAATAAGTGTTGAAGAACGACATTTTTTTCGAATTTCATAGCTGGTGCTATGAATATTTATTTTTTCGTTGCCTAGAAATTGGGATGGTTACCTATACCTATGGACCAAAGGTTACAATACCTTTGGTCCATATCCCTATAACCTGTGTTATATAAAGTAGTAGGGTATTATCTTTATGTGACAGAGAAGTTGGTGAAGCTGTTCATCGAATGTTTCTCCACTTAAATCGGTGTTTCACAAGGCTCAATACTAGGTCATCGTTTCTTTCGAACGATGTTAACGACCTAATGAAACCACAGGCATCGAAGATACGTTTACTATTCGCCAACAATGCCATGGTACTGTGAAAAACCATTGAAAAAAAACATATTTAAATATTTTGAAGAAATGAAAAATGGTTTGTTTACAATTTCTTCTGTTTCAATAATAGAGAAAAAAAACGATTATCTTTCAATGATCTAATCACTGACACCAACTTTATTACAAACCAGCTGAGCATTGGAATAGGAAGAGTCACATATTTTTCAGTGATGAAGTCCCATTTGAACTATAGGGTCACCTAAAGTTCGTTCGAGTCATTATTCATCAAAAACAAAATATCCAACTTGAACAATGAAACTTTCATTCATCATTTTTATACTTTAGCAAATTGTTCGTTTGCGGTTTTGGCATTTACTTCATTCTATACAGTTATATTGACAAACATATGTTTTTTGCGGTTCGGTTATTTTCAATCTTCACTACACTGCTTGAGAAAGCTTGTAAAAAGTCTATCAGAAGGTCAACATATTCTATAATTAAGTAAATCGATTTACATAGAAATTTGTACTGCAGCTCTCAACTTGACTGTTGCGCAAGATGAAAACTAAAACCAATTAATAATAATTGTCCCGGGAAGTTATCTTACAAGTAAATCAATTTAGAATAATTACAGTTATTAGCAATGCTCTAAAGCTTGCATTTAGTGAATGTTGAAATTTTTTAGTTCGACCACAAATTATTTAATATTTGCATTCTGGTTTCAATCAAAATACGTCAATTTTTATCAATCTCAATGTATTTTCCCAACAAGAAAGGAGTTATAATATTGGATTTTGGTTCGAAATTATATCCACAATTACAAGTGATGGATATAAAGGGACATTCTTCCTTTCTAACTGTCAGATTCATTTGAAATCTTTTCATTTTATGAAACTGAATCATCATAATATATTCAGTTTTAGAGTAAGGCTGACATTCCAGAATTTTACGCCTTAGTCGATAACATTATATATTGAGGCTATTGAAACAAATGCCTTTGTTGTATTTGAATTGTGGACAGATCTAAATTTAGTGCTCCCAAATGTGAGCACTAAAAATTTTTATTATTGAAGATCCAGAGTGTAACGAAACTTCAAAGAAAAGGTCTAGCCGGCATAATCATTGGGAAAAAATTAAAACGTACCGAAACTACTACACTTACAGACCAATAATATTATTTGAATTCTTAATTCACGTTGTTCTGAATTCTTTGAAATAACGTGGAAAAAACTTGAGGACTGCAATGTTGACTATCATAAGAACATAAAAGCTAATATTTTCGAGGAATGGTTTGAAAACAACATTTGTCCCAAATTTGGATGCGAATAGTGTAATAGTTCTTGACAACGCTTCCTACCATCTTCAATCCCATCGAGTTGATTTGGATATAATTGAAACAAAACATCAGACCTAAAACTAATGGGAAATATAATNTGAAAGAAGAAGTATCTAATATTACCGAAGACGACTGGCAGAAAAGGATTAAAAAAGTAATTTTAGTTGAAAAAGACTATATGGAGCTTGGACACTTCCATATTAATGGTCGAAATAAATTCATTATTGATTTAAATGACGACAGTGATAATGAAACAGAGAATATGAAAGAGGAATTATCAGAAGCTTTTGAAGAAAGTTAGTTGAAGTGTTGAAGTGTTTGAAGCGATCGATCGTTAGGTCTTGTTAGGCGTAACATTCAATAAACAAGACACATTCCTAGAAACAGTGAACCTAGACAAAATCCAACACAAAGGATATTAGGGGTGCCTGGGGTAATGGTAGTAACCTAGGGGGAAAAAATCATAAAAAATGATTGTTTCACTCTTTCGAAATGTTAGCAATCTTAACAGTATACTTATAACATCTCCTAAGTAACCAAGGACTTGAAATGTAATTATAACTTAACTTTTTTATGTTCACACCAAAAACAAAAAATATCAGCTTTGNGAGGAAAGTCACATTTCCTGCCTAAGCGTGGGTCAGAATCAGTACCGCTCTTTAATCGGACTTGTAATGTGCTAAAGGGTATTCCAAAATTTTCCGCGGCCTTTCTCATTGATAAGCCATTATCAACAGCCTGTTTAGCTTTTTTAAGGTCTTCTGCTGTCCACTTAGCTTTTTCAGTTTTTCTAATATACTTCCTCGCCATCTGAAACATACAAAACAAAAATTGATAACGAATGGGGTAATGATGGTCAGTTGACATAATGACTGCCATTACCCCAAACAGTATGACTACCATTACCCCGAACGCATGGTTTTATTTCACAAGAAAAAATCAACAACAACCTGTTATAATACCTTCATAAACAGCAATGGTTATAGTAATGGGGCTTACCTTGATACTGTGTGACCATTGGTTTATCAGCGGGAACAGTGAAACGTGTGAAAACAGCACTTTAAACGACAGGTTTTCTAATGAGGCGCAACATAAAAACACTCCAACTCACTCAACGTCCAAACGACGACTGCCAAGATGGCGCGCGTTCGAGTAGTAGTTCGAGATCGTGCCGCAAGTAGGCAGCATCGATCAGAGCGATCTGCGTTACCGTCGTTACCGAGATATTATACCGACCACGATTACCCCTTGACTGTCATTACCCCACTCTCCCCTACCTGAAGTAACTCAAGTACCGGCAAATTTAAGGAGACATCCGAATGAAAGGAGAGGACAAATATTTGCACTGAGGTGATTTCATGAATAGAACTCACTATCCAACCGGTTATCATCTGGCTTCTGTATCTGTAGAGTAGGGAGGGTGAGTGTAAGCCCACAGCGCTTAGGCCACATATGACCCATTGTACATCATCCCAAGGAGTTGTCCTTCTACAGGTCATCGTCCATCCTATCCTTTCCAGGAAGGTGGACAGGTCACTTGGAGACATCTCCTTCATATCTCTTATTGACGATAACTCCGCGCACTCGCATAGGACGTGCCTGACAGTCTCATCTTCCTGTTCACACATCCTGCATAGAGGTGTGTTCACTAGCCCCATATTATGGAGTTGTTTCCTTAGTTGACAGTGGCCAGTCAGAAATTCCACTGTTAAGCGTAGATTTTTCCTGGTCATCGCCAGATATTTCTTCGGCGCCAGCTTCCCAGGGTCGCCCAGGGTGATCCTGGCAAGATTGCATCCTTTGGTTCCATCCCATCTCTTCAGAGATTGAGCATGGGTGTAACATTTGGCTGGTTCCGCAGTTGTCGAAGGATGGTGCTCGATTTTAAACTATCAAATAAAATTAGTCTGTGTGTTGTTGATGAACATCCGAAACTATATCATTTTATTTCTTGCAAATACAAGTTAGTGTCGGTATCGCATTGATAATTCGCTCCTGCAGTGATACCAGGTATGTTTTTGAATCCAAATCAATGTAATTCCAAATACAAAGTGAAATTTGCTACCATTCATGAATCAATAAACTTGAGAAAAAAGTGCCGACTTATTCCCAAGATGAATATTCAGTACAAGTTCTTTCCACATTACAAAATTTTAGTTGCAGTGACTTTATATTCCGAATCGGTACATGCAAATACTGCAGTCGTTTAGCAAATTAATTGAAATTTATACAGCGTTTGATACTCATCTAAATTCAATTGCGGAAGCCATTACCGTTATATTGGGTTTCATGTCGAAATCCCATTTCAATAAATGGAATAGATTCCAATGGAGTTGTCCTGCATCCTTGAATAAATTGTGGGCTCCCAATTTCAGAAGTTCCCGGAATTGAATTCAAGTCTAATATTGGAAATTTCAGTTGTGTATATATTATTTGTTCAGATTTTATATGGAGAAAAGCTATATGTTCAGAATACCCGTAAATAGTAGAGTAATTACGTTTTCAATACTCGAAAGTCAAGAATTTTTCTCTAGCTTAAGGAAATGCGAATATTTTGAAATGCGTATGTATTATATCAGTATACACATTGAAAATATTTGAATTTGTTAAGATTCTCAATTTTTTTCATCTGGCAATATATATTCAGACGTAAATATGGCAATCTTGAATAAAATTTTTTGAAAAGCGTAGATTTTATAGGAAGTACTGGGCGTTCTTTCATTCTGGGTTTCTATTGGACAGTTTTGATTGGCATTAATTATACTTTCAAAGATTTTTCAGGCGGAAGTGTCGATTTTTCATGATGTGTAACCAGCTACAATAGTTTCTAAAGAAAGTTTGTGTGTCAGTTAGAAAATGGCTCTGCCACAAATAGAACCGTGGAAATAATCGACAGTATTAGGATTTTTATTGAATTGAAAGAATTTTTCTTCTGTTTCTGATACAAATGTGAAAACGGCTCTCTATAACAGAAATCAAATAAGTCAAATAAGATGGGCAAAATATATCGATAGAGTTGGAAACTAGAAATAGTTAGAATCCATATTCCATGAAAATACATGTAGAGAAAAGAAGTTAGGCTGACTCTAAGTTTGTTTTCAGAAAAGCTAAAATGAAGATTCATCAAACGGTTATTAGATTCACAGTAATGTCAACCTACGAAAATTTGAACGACCAAAAGATTCACTCGAATTCACATTGGTTACCATATGATGTTGGTTATGATTGATTTCTCCAAACCATACTTCATTTCATATATTTTAGCCCATTTTTGTTTTACGTATTCTATGCTTTGATATTTTTTGAGTGTGCGAAAGAACAACGACAAGGATTGTTTCAGTGAGATTATTTACTTTGATGTGTGAAGATATTATTATAAAGCTGTTATATTTAATTCCTAAATATTTCTTTTTTTTCTGGTGTACATACATGAAAAATTTTCATTGATCTCGTAGAGTTTTGATTTAAATAAGTTCACGAAGATTTTATACTTTTCCAGAAATATTCCATCTCAAATTGCCAAATCAGGTCTATCTCTCATATAGAAGACCACTTCACTAAAAGCAATTTTCATAAAAGACAGATCCCCCCTGAGAAGCATTTTCGTAAGCTGAACAAATCTGGAATTCATGGTAAACTGTAATTATGGATTGAAAACTGATGGATTGGATTGTGATGGGATGGATTGAAACCTGACAGGCTGAAATTTGAAAGTCAGATTTGGTCATACCTTTTCCTCTAGTACGGCAGTAACAAGTGGTTATGTTCTTAGTCTACGCAAGTGATTTAACATATCATATTTAAACAAAGCAACAAATCATTTTAGGCTGACGACACTAAAATGTACGCAAATCTTCTGGCAATTCATAATACGCTTCATGGTAATATTCACCTACTGCAATGACTAGGTCCTTGTGTTGAACATAGAAAAATGCGCGGTTCTATAAGTTGTTAAAAATAATCTGCGTTTCCACTTCATCTCACGAAGATCTAGGAGTCAGATTTTCTAGTGGTCCGATCACATCCTCAAAATATGTGCGAGTAAGCGAGATAATTCACCGATATACCTAATTTGAAAAACTTTCGCGCATGTTTCCGTCGAAGCATTTGTTTACTTATACAAAACCTATATTAAATATTGAAATATACCGGTCCAGGATGCCAACTTTGATATGAGGTCAAAATTTCATGGAAAACATTTAGCATTTAGCATAAACATTTTATTTCGACCAATAGCGCTTAGCAAACATTTCAGCACCATAGACTTCGCGGAGATCTCTTCGATGTTCTGAACAACTTATTCACCTAAAACTTGAAACATTGGCTTCGCAGGCATTAACCCAAACACGACAAAAATAGTCCAAATAGAGACAATCACAGATTACAACAACTACGTTTAGAGTATCTGGGCAGTTTCTCGCCATTTCATTTTATTTCCTTAGACATCCATCTGAGCGCTGTGCTATACATTAATTGTGATAATGCTGGCAGTTGGCACAATCAAAAAAATTTGTTTTGGTTTTTGACATTAATTTATATTACAATCCACCTGTTGTGTACTGGTGAAATTAATTTTTTGGTTGGGTGTTTTGTTTTTGTTATTGTTTATTGACCTTCATTGTGTTATATTGCTATTGTTCTTTACAGATTTTTCTAGTTAATAAATCTAGATTTTAGTCGAGAAGTTTCTGATCAACCACATCTTCTACACGTGGAACGACCTACACGACGAAGTGATTCGGTCTTTATGAGTTATTGTCATTAAGAACAGACTTGATGAATGTTTATTTTCACAATAGTGTTCATTTTCCTCTGTCGCTAAATAATCTAGGCTTTTGAAGGACTCTGACGTCAGCCTTCAATTGTGTTTAAAATGAATAATCTCAAGACTATTATAATCTTTTTGTTTATTTTTTAACGTCAATTGGCACCTCACGGGTAAAAGTCCAAAATATCGGAACCTTATAGACGATCTTGCATTTTAACGTGCGGTTCTAAGCAGTGTCAGTATTCAACTTTAATTCCGTCTTTAACAAAACAACTAAAAATCTTCTCTCCACCTGATACTCATCAACACTTTCAATCTACCGAAAATCCGAAGTAATAGACCACATAGTGTTCACTGACACGTTCCATACGCACCGAGTGTTGGATATGAGTGGGCGTAATGGCATCCGGAAGTTCCGGATATTATATATGTCACTTGTTAAGAGCTTGCACTGATTGGGAAGCCACAACCATTCATAAAGTATAAATGGATCTCTAGTGGCAACGCTACGTCTAAATATAGAAATAGTCCAAAGTGTTCCATTCATCATTGCAATCGTTCTCTTCTAAACTTTCGCTATTCTCAGGAAGAAAGAGATATTTCAGGTGTTCAGGAAATGTTTCGGCTGGGTTCTCAATTTGTACATCGTTATGTTGTACAAAAGACCTCTCATGTCTATGTTTTGCAATATTACTTATAATAATAAGAAGAAATAGTATCGATGAAAAAGTGTAAGTACAATAAGAAACAAACGAATGCATGCGTGCGAGTTTCAAAGCGAATATTCTGATTATCCAATAGACGAAATGAAACAAAGTTTATATGAAACACTTCTTTGGATTACCTACACTCAATATCCCAAATTAACAACGTTTCATAAATATTGGGTCAGATCCAATAGTATACGATGTTCTGTATTGATTGAGAGTAGATTTTGAATCATATTGAAAAAATCGAATAATAACGAAGGTAACGAAGTTGCCTAATGAACCTATCGGCTGTAATAATAAGCGGCTGTGTTTCGAACATTTTGTTAATAAAATGAGAGATTCATATGTTTTCAGGTTCATTCAGGTACTAGTATTATTATTCCGGCAAATCTGAAGATATTAATTTGTTTCATAAAATTCTTAAGAAGGCTGAACAACCAAAAAAGATTACTATTACAAAATTAGAAAGAATTGTACAACAATCCATTCATTGGATACCGAATGGAAAGCGGAAAAAAGGCAGAAATATTTACAGAGAAGCTTACACTCACATATTTCATGACACGGATTGATCACAGATCTGCCATTTCAAGGCACAAGTGTCAGGAAAGATTTTAAAGACAAAACAGAATAGATCTGTTGGTTTTTATCAATTATTTCTGATGATGGAATCTGTTTTTAATTGTTCATAATTTTTTTCTGTTGCTTAAATCGAAACATATGATGGAATGGTTTTCATGACTACATGGATTTGTTTTTGAGTGATTAGGAAAGCAGCTATCGTTATGAATTATACCTTTTGAAACAATTTTATTTTCAGACGATAACAAATTTGAACACTGAAATATATTCTTTATATTCGATTTATGATCTTCCCAAACAATGTTTGATTCATGGGCATTAGTGCTTCATTTATACTGTTTTTTGGCAACCCATGTTTTGAAATCAATCAAAAGTTCAATGAGCAATCTATATTGTATTATTGATTTCAACTGGTATGTAATCCAACAGATATTTTTATATTGTCAATATACATTACCTACCATATTGTCAAAAAATCTCAGTCAGAAATCTGTATTTATTTATTTACAAAAGTTCCGCAGTTAAACTGTCAAACTGAAACTCTTTGTTATTGTGCAACAAGTTATCGACATATATCTCTGTCATATTGAAATACTTATAGTAAGTATTACACCTGATAATATCTCCGAACTTCTGAAAAATACTCGCTGAAACTATTTCATACTAGTTTCGAAGATATCCCTGTACGAAGTTGAACTTTAGACGTAATCACCTCGTCGTCGTGACTTGCTTCTCATACTTGTAATTAGCTTCGTTCGATGCACCATCTTTGTTCGCCTCTCACCCATAAATCTCTCCCTACAGCTCCCACGTTATGGACGATCCGGATATACAAGAAACGGTCGAATCGATCCTCGGCAAAGGAGCTAAAGTTCTAGATTGCGAGAAGACGTCTTCGATAAAAGAAGAGGAAGTGCTATACATAAACGGCATTCCGGTCAAATTAGAAGGCAGCGACGGGATCGCCATCAAACAAGCCTTGATCACGGGGCAAGTGCCTCCATGCGATCTACTCAACACCCTACTGATCAAGACGGGAATTTTAAAGGCACCCGTTAAGTTGGACACATCTTTGAGTGTCAAGTCGACGACAGTAACAAAAGAAGAAGTCACCGTATCACGTGCGGGTAAAGTAGTCGACGAAAGAAGCAGGGAAACGAAAGAACAGAATTTCTATACGAGCGCGTTAACGGAAGTGTTCGAACCAATCAAAATCATACCAAATTCCGAACTGATAAACGGGCAGTACAGCAACGTTCAGTATGCCGAAAACCACGCCAAACCCGAGTACTACGACAACAATGGTTACGAAACAGGAAGTGAGCGGAAGTTCGGTTCGTGTTCCAGTGCGTCCAGCTATGAATCAGAGGAACCCTCCTATCGCCCTAAACCATGTCTCAGTAAGGATTCTGGACACTTGAGTAATTCTACTACCAAGGTGGATTTCACACCGAGCAGCATTGACTCCTTGAGTTCGCTAGACGAGACGGATTATCTAACCGATCAGTTTCGAAAGTGCACAACATTCAATGGAAATGGGTTCTTGAATGGCTACAGTGGTGATGATATTTTAGTAAGTAGGTTTGCTTTGTTAGATGTTATGAAATCTTTTGGCAGACTCAGTAAATATTTGAATATGTCAAACTCTTGCAAATACAATATATGAAAGGTAATTTCAATTTCAATTTACACTCTTGACACCATTGAAACAAATCAAATTTGGTGAATGTTGAATCAGATGAAACTGTCTCAATACTGGCTTTTTACAATTCAATTGACGCAATATTCAGTGTGAAATCTGGAAACTACACCTCTGTCGTCATAAGTTGGATGGCTCGAATAAATGCAATCTCCTAAGAGTAAATATTGAAAGGTTCCTATAAGCACCAGATTTAATAACTGTGGAATTCTTATCTCAAAGAAGATTTAAAATTGAAGTCTTCTACGCTCATTCATCAATGTTGATATACTTAATAATAAATTATTGACCCATCTTAATTAATTTCCTGATGGGTAATTTAGGAGGACTTTTTCACCCAAAGAGCTATGACCACATCTGAGGAGTAGGCAGACTGAGGACCCAACCGTCAGATCACAAACTAATAAATGTCTCATTACCTCTGAGTAGTCACATTTTCATGGCATTCAGCTCTTAACAATGGCTTCAAATCTGAATCTGAAATTTTGGTTTAAACCGAACTTCGAAAATCTCTACGGACTATTGCATTTACATTGGGCCCTTCTCTTGACACTACATGTTACTTTCAACACAATTCGACCATCAATTCTATCAATTATAGTTTCAATATAATTTTTCAGTTCATCTACATTATTATGTTCTGTTTTGTACTCCAAAAATAGAAATCTAGAGGTGTCATGTCTGGTGAACGTTTGTAGCAATCCACCTGTTTCCAAAACAGTCTTGCAATATTCCTTTTACGCCACTGAAATTATGTGCTGGTGCTCCATCCTGCTGAAAATAGATCATCTGACGAGCCTCCAGATCAAGATCATCCAAAAACTCTTTTCTTTCAAGGCTCTTGTTAATAAATTAATGTAACGGGGTCCGTTCAAAGACCCATGGTAGAAAAATGGACCGATAATTCTGCCTCTCAATAGACCACACCAAACATTAATACTTTGAGGATGGTGGTGCTGGACTAGAAATGGACTATGTGTACTCCAATAATGAAAATTCTTTCTTTTATACATCTCAAACTTTGAAAAATTCACAAAATAAATACGGCTAGTGGAATGGCTTTAAGTTGGAAATTATCGTTTTGTAGGTCTCAATCTGCTCACCCCAAAGGTGTCGTCACTGGTCTCCGCAAGGGTCTCAATCTACCCCTATCTAATACCTTTATAAAACTCAAAAGTGAAAACTTTTGTTATCAGTATTTGTAGAGTACAAGTTGCAACTCACTCGATATCAAAAACTACACAAAACGTATTCTAGTGTAACATGTAAATTTTCCGAAAAAAACATCAAATTATACAGATATCATGAATAAATACAGTGAAAAATGAAAATATACATGATTAAACTAATATTCAATGGCATTCTTCTTTTTTTTTCTGTAAATATCAGAATAAAACCGGAAATTTCTGGTAATTTCGTAGATACACATAATTTTTTATCTTCGATAATAGAGTTCATAAAATATTAGTGAATGTAACATTATAAAATACAGTGCCCCCCATTTATTTTGTGAACGGATCAAATAAAATTGAAATTTGGGACAATGAAATTAATGCATGAATACTTTATTTTGAAGTGAAATTTACAGGTGACACTTTCAAGATGGCGACTGGGTGCCACCTGGAAAAAAATCTAATGGAAAGGGGGGTCTTGTGACACATCTTTTTGAAGATCCTGACAAATGCTTCACAACCCTAGAATATAATGTCAATAGCTTCATCTAACACAAAATGGCGGAACTTTTAATAATTGCCTTAATACATTGACTTTTAACTACATAATATGAGGTAGTAAGCTTGAGGTCAGTTCAGAAGATACTCGAAATGGTTGCCTTGAACTTCTTGACTTATGAACAGCCTATCCGATATTTCACGCCAAACATTTTCGAACAGAGTAACGTCAATATCTCTACAAATATTTATTATTCTCTGCCATATATCCAATATTGAAGCAGGTTCAGTTTCGTACTCAAATAGCCCCATAAAAAACGTCCAAAGGTGGAGTAATGTGGTGGTGCTCCATCTTGTTGGAATACAGTATTCATATCGAATTCATTAGGATTCGCTTCGACGATTTCAGTGATGAAAGGGTCAACAGTAGTTTCCACCATATTCAACAGTTCCCCTGTTAAATTTTGATCAATAAGTAGAGGTCCTACTTTATGGTTTCCCAATATACCTGCCCAAACGTTGATTTTTTTTGGATATTGGGTATATGTGTTTCCCGGAAAATGTGAGGGTTGGTGTCACTCCAATAACGACAATTTTGTCTGTGAACATTGCCGTTTGAAAAAAGTGTACATTCGTCATTAAAACAAATATTGTGGAAATAGGTAGGATGCCTTGTAATGGTATCCGTCATGATTTCGCAGAATTCTGTTCTTCGATCAGAGTCATCTTCAGTTAATTTGTACCATTTTAACTTTGTATGGATGATACCTATTCCTCTTCAGAAGTCCACACACAGTAGAAGTAGACACCTCACAAACATTCGCGACGGAATAAGTAGACTGTTCAGGATTTACCACCATCTCACCAATTATTTGCACTTGCTGTTCTTTCGGAATGGAAGGTTGACCTGGGGTCTTTTTGTTATGTACACTACCGGTAGTTGTGAATTTGGATACAAGTTACCTCAAATATTTTCAACAGATAAGACGATTCGGAAAACGTTCATTGAAAATCCTTTCGGTCTCGTGAAAGTTACGTGTCGCACCGTAAATAAAAATCGCTTCAATTTTTTTTTCCAATGAACGAGAATTGACCATTTTAGAGATTGTGGACGTGGTACCTTTCTACTAGTAAAACCGTAAACTAAATGAGAATATTCTAACTGAACAATGATGTTCATTGTCGTACTGACATTTTTTGTCGTTTTTATTATTGAAAAATAACTTAACAAACCTTATCGGGATGTTGGAATTACCATATGGCAGATAAAAAGGAATATTTCTAGAAATATCAATGTGTTTGTTTTCAGGAAATTATTGAATGTTGCCCTATTTTGTAGTAGGTGAAGATATTGACTTCATATTCTAGGGTTGTGAAGTATTCGTCAGGAGATTCAAAATGATGTGTCACAAGACCCCCCTTTTCATTTAATTTTTTCCCAGATGGCGCCCAGTCGCCATCTTGAAAGTTTCATCTGTCAATTTCACTTTAAAAGAAAGTATTCAAAGTATTCATGCATTAATTTCTTTATCCCAAATTTCAATTTTTTGAGTTGACCCGTTCAAAAAATAAAAGGGCGGAGGGGACATTAAATTAATGCACTGTATGTAATAATTGTATAATTCTGAACCAGTTTTTTTCAGTGTACCATCCAGATTATTTTGAAATACACCAAAAGAGTCATGCCTTCGTATAAAATGCACAAAATATATTTCCCAATAGTCGTCCGAAGGATGTAAGAAGTATTCAAGCTACTGGAGTCGATTAAATAATATTTATGTAATATATAGCTTCACAGTAGTGAGGAATTTATTCATTGTGATATATTGTAATTATCGTAGTATTTTATTGAGACATTTGTTGAATTTTCAATTACTTTATGTCTTTGAGATATCATGAAAATTTCCCTCTGTTATTGACGTGTTTCTTAAACAAGTGTTTTCCTATTGAGCATATATATTATTTACTCATACTCTGCCTATCTATCATGGATATCATTCTCCAAAAATGGAAATGTATTCCCCATATATTTGACAGGTTTCATAAATTTGTTTTATTATATCAGTTTCTGTACACATTTTGTACGGTGTTTCCAGTTATGTTTTGATAATTTATCTTAATTATAAAGTCATTATTACTACACAGAAACTATACGGCGACTGGTAAGTCGCTTTTACCATCATGTTTCAGTATTTAGTAGTATATTACTGTCACTTAACATATCCTTTAGGTATATAAATTACATTTCAAAAATGTAAGTAATATTTTCCTAAATGGAAACATCACAGAACTTTATTTTGTTATACACATGACAGGGTTGTGCCCCCTCAAAAGTTACCAGCATTCGTAATAATATTGAATATAAAAAAAAAAAACGTAACTTTATGTTACGCCATCAAGTCAAATCACCGAAACTAGTAACGTCCATCGTAAACCATTTCTCACTACTACTAAGTTGGGATTGAAAAATCAATATCCCTACTTAATATTATAAATTATCCAATCCAATTGACTATAGTTTCAGCTGTTTGGAATTTTTCTTCATTCATTGTCATTTTCTTCTGTCATTTTTGTTTTTAGGTTAGGTGTCATTTTTGTGGTTGGATGCCACTTAATTATTTTAACATTTGTTGTTGCAATTCAATAAAGCATATTTTAAATTTTCGAAACTTCATCGTATGTAAAAAAAATTCAAAAATTGATATAGATAATCCCAGCCAAGCATTGATTCATTTCTATTGTACTGACACTTATTTAATGGCATAAATGCCAGCGAAGCCGCGAGTAAAAGCTAGTATTAAATACTTTCAATCCCGTACAAGAAAGTTATTCGAGAAAAAATATTATTGAGTTCGTCTTTATTAACGCAGTGGAAACCAAAACGGTGTTTTTTGAACTTTCTTCTGTTTTTTGTATTCGTGAGAACTAATTTCAAAAACGGCTTAACCAACGTTTGGTTTTCACTAGTATATTGTCGTAAGCTTCACTTATTGTTCGATTTATTTCAATCGGTTCATAAATTACAAAGTCATGTCATCAGTGCAAGGAATTACGTAAAGCATGGAAACAATTCTATAAAAAAACTGTTCAGTTGATTTGGTTGAAACTTTCGTTAACTATATTTATAATTCGTGAAACTAAATTAAACATTAACAAATGAAAGAGAATTTTTTCTATTAGAAAATTTGGTAAACAGAAAAATGTCCTCCCAAACGAGGTCGCGAGCAAAAGCTATAGTCGTAACTATATCTTGCCTGCAACTTGTTGGAGTTCATGTAGCTAAACTCTTTTAAGTTTTACCGGCAAGAAATTAACCGTTCTCCAACAACCGTATTTTTTGTATATCATCAAAAATATTGGTGAATTATAATTTAGTTCAACGCGTGAACAATAGCAATTAAATTGATATATTTTTATTGAAAAATATTTGTCAGTTCCATACTTATCATATATTATTGATGATTAACAATATTTTTAACTTGTTGCCTTGTATTTCGTTTTACTTCAATTAGTTTATCAGCACTTTTATCCGATTCTAAAGAATTCGGTGGAATATTTCAATTAAATTTAGTTCTCTTCTATAAGACAACTGAACCGATTAGATAACTTACTTTCTCATATACAAGTAAAATATTTGAGTGAACCAAAATGAAGAAAAACTTGTCTTTTAAATTTCAGTTCCGATAGCAAATAATATGAAATTGATTTCAGTTCATCATTTTGGAGATTGGTACTTATGTCCTCTATAATGTGCATGAGAAGATAAAAAACGGTTTTAACGGTTCTTATATCCATCCTACATTTGTTCTTTTTTCTCACTTTTTTTCTCAGAAATTGTTGTTTTTATGCTTCGTATAAGTAGTGCAAATGTTTTTCGTGGAATACTCTTTTATAACACCAAACATGTTACTGCTTTGCTTACCGTAATGAATGGAAATATGATAAGATCCAATGTTCATTGGCCTTCGTCATAAAATTTGCTGATGAAACAAAAGTCAAAGTTCAGTAAATAATTTAAAATTCCTCGCCACTCTTCGCTGTACGACGTAAATATCTCATTGTTCTGCATTTGCAAAAACAAAGTTTAACATTGCTGTTGTCGTCGAATACAGTCGGCAAAATTGAATATCTAATAATAAATTTAACTTTATTTTTAGCCTACAATATTCGGGACCGTAGCTTCAGACCTCACACCAAAAGACTGTTCTAATAGAAGGGTAAGTGCGATCCATTTTTTCCGAGTTTATTTTTAATTTTCAAATGAATGGTGTTCAATTGTGCACTCGTAGGAGATAAGGGAACATATTGGTTGTGATTTATTTTAGCTATGAACATTTATGTGTTATTTATCGTGTTAAGGAAGTTAGGTTTAAAGTTAGCATTAAAACATAATATTTTGTTGTCAGGGAGCTATGTACATCAAGCTATTTCAAATGAAGAAAACATATCCATATAAAATTTCAAAGCTATTTTCAAAAACCATTTTTATGTCGTTATGTAGATGCTATACAAATCTCATCTGTTGGTATGACTTTTGGATATCAGCACGTTTAGTTCTTGACTGAAAGTAACGGTAGCTAAAGTGTTGTCCCAAGAAGTCATATTGGAGGTGTTTCGCGTATACCGTTGACATATGTTAGGCCGTTACATATTTGTTCACTTCAATATATGTATTACTGTTTATGGAATGATCAGAACTTCTCAAAAAAATTATAAATTCTAGATGAAATAGCCAAAAACAAATTAAACTTCCTCTTCTGGGTCTTTATGTAGGTAGTATTACAACTCTCATCTATTGATATGACTGTTAGTCCCAGCACTGTCACAAGTGAAATACGGCCAAAATGTCACAGATGTGTTGAAAAAGCATGTCATATTGAAGGTGTTTCAAGTATACCATTTACATATGTTAGACCGTTACTGTAGATCAATAAATTTATCATATCTACGACCAGGATTTTCATTCGTCGTTGGTTAATTCATTTAGAATTCATCATATCTACGACCAGAATTTTCATTCGTCGTTGGTTAATTCATTTAGAATTCATCATTTTTTTTTGCTTCGTTAGTATAATTTGTTATAAATACTAATGTGAGGAGTTCTGATCTTTTCATAAACAGTAATACAAATATCAAAGAGAATAAATTCGTAACGGCTTGACATATATGTCGACGGTATACGCGAAACACCTCCAAAACATTAGCGACCGTAACTTTCTGTCAATAAATGAAGCAGATTACCAATTTTTTCGCGAATCATATTAGTCGCAACATTCACAATGGGTTTCCAATGATAGTGTTGAATAAATTTCGAAAACCAAATCCATTGATCTAAGTTTTGGTCGTAGTATTCATACGTAAAATTGGAGGGGCTGGTTTTGCGATACTATCGCGTCGTGGAAAACCAGCCCCTACAATTTTACTTTGTGATATAACATCGAGTATACAGTTTTGCCGCCTTACAATATAATACCTCATTTTCAGACTTTTAAATACTCAAATTTGTCCATCAAACAAAGTAACTCAAACAATGATAGATGCGTGACCACCACGCACATTTGAATCTACTGGGTAAAATAAAAAAAACAAGCCTCCTTACACTGGCCAATCAGATTCAACTGTCATCGGCTAGCGGATTTCATTCAAATTAATCGTTACAGGGTGTGTACATTTACGTAATTTTAAAGTTTGAAATGTTTGCCTTGCTTGGAAGATCACGTGCACTATGCATCATACTTTTTTGGAACACTCTGTAGCTCGTACGGACAGAATATAGATATATAACGTTACTGTTATTACCGCATGGGGCAGTAGCGACTTGACATTTAACATGTATGAGGGAGCACATCGAGCGCCGGAGTTCTTCCGTTTCAAAGATAAGAAAGATGTAGCGGGTGTACAAAAAAAAAACGCAATATATCAGGTGTCTCAAGCATGATCATTTGTAGAAAAAAAACGTGCTCCATATGGTTCAGATGAGGTTTTTTGTTGTTGTTCACCCGGTTGAGGAATTTCATCTTGTAATTTATTCTCTATATTTTTCCGGTGTTCATTTTCAATTACTTTTCGTTTATCGGCGGGATACCTCATTTTTAGATATTTTGTTTCTTGAGTACTATCCAAGAAAGTTAACTCAGACAACTACTATTTACAAGTTGAAGAGCATATTGGTTTCGAAATAGATGATTTTTTTCTACGTATGAATACTACGACCAAAACCTAGATCAATGGATTTGGTTTTCGAAACTTATTCAACACCATTGTGAATGCTGCGACTAATATGAATCGCGAAAAAATTGGCAATGTGGAAAAAAAACTTTTGTGAAACATATGCCGATAAGGGTTGGTCACCTATCAGGTAGGTATGCAATGTTATTTAAATACAGACAGGGCTCGTTACTGGAATATTCATTAAAGAAAGAGAGACTATTATTAGAAATAAATAAGTCTAATTGATCTGATTGCCATCGGATTACCCAATTTTATTGCAGATAAGATTGATAGAAATGGTTTGAAAGAAACTGAAGACTTATTTAATAGTATAAGAACTTTAGAGCATACGATTAACAAAAAAACATTTGATGAAAAGGTAGGAGCTTTCGAAAGTAAAATCAAAGAGAAAAATGTGAAACCCTTGATTGGTCCCTGTAAAATTTGTGAAAAAGAGAATAAAGGTATGTATACGCTATCACCCTGAATCCCAATGTTGGTTCAGAATTAAAAATAATGATATGTCAAAAAAAGATCAAATAAGGAGTGTTAAAAATTCTGAATTAGAGGCAGAATTATATGAAATCGACCCAAAAAACTAATAGTGCCGCCAATAATAAAAATCAAATTACTAATAAATAATGCTTTAGAAATATCAGGAATTTATGATTCAGGATCTAATGTCTCCTTATATATATTCTTTATATTCGATTTATGATCTTCCCAAACAATGTTTGATTCATGGGCATTAGTGCTTCATTTATACTGTTTTTTGGGCAATCTATATTGGATATTCAACTGATTGTACCAATTACGATATTCTTATAACCAATAACTGAGCTAATAAAATTAAAGCTCTTCTCCGGGTTTTGATGTTGAAATTTTATCGAAGTACAATGATGATAATGATTATTTCATCCGTGTTATCTTCGATTATTTCCAATATACTTAAGCTCGATTATTCAGATTAATACAGTCAAAGTTAAAATACAGTATCATTTGAAAAGTTTTAAAACATACTTTTCTGTGGTTTACTGTCTATGTTNTTCTATGGAAAATATGTGCCAAATATTTCAATTATACTAGATCCTTTACATAATTTATTGAGAAAAGGAGAAAAATTCGTTTGGTCCCATAAATGTCAAGAATCCTTTGATAATGTAAAAAAACTACTTTGATCAAAACCTATTCTAACCATCTTTGATCCTGACTTGCCAATACATATTTATACAGATGCTAGCATACAAGGTATAGGGGCGATTTTGAAACAAATTCAACCCAATGGGGATGAAAAGCCTTGCGCATATTTTTCCATATATGCATGATAAAAATAGAAAACATTGTGAACTAAAAGTCAGAGATTCTGTATATGTTGAAAACGGAAATCGGTTAAACCGAAAAAAACTAGATGAATTGAAAATTGGACCTTATCAAATTGTAGACAAAATACCCAATTCAATTTACAAAGTAAACACGGGTCACAAAAAGTCAGAGTCGAATCTCTTCTATATTACAAAGCTTATTCCAGTAATAGAGTAAAACTGTATTTAAAGTGGGAGGGGAGATGTAAACGAAGTGAGTGACACTTCATTTAGTTTGAATTTGCCGTGTAATAACTTTGATGTATAGTTTATCTGTGAACTCTTTGGAATCTATGGTTCTGTGGGTCACATGTCTCCATGTGATGAA